GAGGGTGTAAATCTTTACGGGAGTAGAAAGCCTCATCTTTCTCCCGCAGAGCAGCTGGTAGTTTCGAACTGCTGACCTTGCAGTTCACAGCCCGATTCGTAACCACTACGCTACCAGAGTGGGTAGCCGGCACCATTTAGTGCTTCAGGTTGAAGAGTAGTGAAGACTGAGCTCCATATGGCCCATTAGTCCTTTAAACTCATTGTTTTCTTTTGTCTTGAATTGTCTTTACTCTTCTTTGCTCAAATGGAAGAAATCAATAGTTGCCTCTTAGATGGCTGCTCACAAGCTTGTAAGACTCCAGTCTCTACTCATTCTCCAAGGAAAACTGTAGACCATTGTCTTTGTGGACTTTGTTATGTCAATTGGCCTAGCTATCCCTGGAGACTATGGACCTATGTTCCCAACCCCAGTGACTCATTCCATCAAGGTGTTTGCTTACGGCTAAGAAGTTTGCCTACCTCTGACACCTGAGTGTTCTACAGTGTATTTGCAACACTTACAAATGCATATGTAAAGATATCCTTAGCCAAATCTATACGTAGTTATGTATATAGTCCCATTTGCCTTCCCACACCCATTCAGCCTGCATGTCTATCTATATATTCATTTGTAGATTGTTATTGCCACTGTTATTGCAGGATTGCATATATAATAATAGTATTTATCTTTTTTTGCCTTGAACTGCTAAGCACCTCTCAGTGTCTTCCTTTGCCTTGGTCATGCTGTGTTGCCCTCCCTCTTATTGTTTATTGCCTTCCTTTCACCCAAGTTAACAGGAGTCTACGCTCTAGTTTGTCATTTTTCCTTCCTTTTCCGTCCCATCCCTGGTAGCTATCAAAGAATATTTCCTTCTGTGTGTAAACCTTTTCATATCATTTTAGCATTGTGGTGTCATACAATATTTGTCCTTTTGTGATGAACTTACTTCACTTAGCATAATGCCTTCTAGGTTCATCCAGGTTATGAGGTGCTTTTTGGATTCATTGTTACTCTTTAATGTTGCATAGTATTCCATTGTGTGGATGTACCATGGTTACTTACTGAGTTTTTAGTAACTTGGTATTCATTTCCATTGAAAGTCAAGCAGGACTTTTTTCTCCAAGAATAGGTTACTCTGCTCATTCACCTTCTCTACTTTCTGCCTAGCTTGTTCTCCAGAGGTCAGTGGGAAATGGTGTAGCAGCATCTGTCACTGCCAGAATGGAGGCACCTGTGATGCCCTGAATGGGCAGTGCCAATGCCCCTCTGGAGTTCACGGAGCAGCCTGTGAAACCGGTATGAACTCCTGTTACTGGCCTTATACATTCTTATGGTTTCTAATTGGAAATAAGCTAAATGAAATCTGCATCATATTTTTTAAGATTTTTTCTGAAGATGTAGAAGTCTGTATCTGTCTATACAACAGTGCAATGCTTTGACTTATGACATGTGTAAGAGAACAAAACAAGTGATGCTTAAAACTCCAGGGTGAATCCTGACAGAGAAAGGGTTTTAGATTTTTTTTTTTTTTCCTGCTGCTGCTGCTGAGCAAAAAGTTAAGTTTGTGCATGCAGGTTTGGACATAGGAGCTGGGGAAAATTCATTTGCTCTGCATAGTAAAAGGAAGAAAGAATGGAGCCCCTTGGGCAAGCCAGGCAGAGAAAGAGATGAAAATCAGAGAAGAAAAGGAGGGGCCTAGGAGAGCAAGAGGGAGACAGATGATGGATGAAAAAGTCCCAAAATACCAGTGAGGAGGCCACATTTCCCATTTGGGTTGATAAGGCATACAAAAAAAGAAGCAGCTTATACAGGCACAAGAGCCAAAGACAGAGAGTCAATGAAGATATAAGTCCCCAAGGATTTGCAGAAATCATGGGGAGTTTATTAGATTCTCACAGATAACGGAACTGGGGAGATGGAAATAAAGTTTACTTAACTCCCTGAGGAGCAGGGAGGCCCCTGCTGGCATCCCAGTTTCTTATCCCTGTGAGTAGTGTTATTCATTTATTCAAAAATATTTATTAAGTTTTCAAGGCACTGTGCCAGGCATTATGATGTGATAACACAGAAACAGGAGGATACAAAGACCCTGGTATTTCTGTATAGTATTTACAGTCTTATTCAAGAAAGGCACAGATTACAAAGGTTGGTAGGTATTACAAGCTAAATATTACAAGGTGGTTGGTGATAAGAGCATAAGGAACTGATGTAGACTATGTGAGAGACTTTTGGAAAAGTGATTCTTAAGCAGAAACCTGCAAACTAAGTAGAAATAAGACAAGAGTAGAATGAGGGAAGATCATTCAAGGCTGAGAGAGCCACACGTAGCCTGACTCTGAAGTATTAAAAAGGGTGAGGATGCATTGGAAGAATTGGCCAGAAGGTCAGCCTGCTCAGCACAGTGTAGCAAAAATAGTCAAAGAGATATCGATGCAACATGAGGTCAACCAGTGTGGGAACTTGTAGGCCTTGTTAAATTTAGGGTCTCTAAAGAGGAAGGCCCTCAACTAGATGGACTGACACAGTGGCTGCAATAGAGGTCTCAGATTTAACAAAGCTTGTACATAGTAGGGCACTATGAATTGGAGCCAACTCTGATTTTAATCAGAGGATACAAAACCATATTTGTGTTCCTAACAACAGCAAAGGCTCTGGTAGCATAGTGGTTACGAATCAGGCTGCGAACCTTAAGGTCAGCAGTTTGAAACAACCAGCCGCTCCATGGGAGAAAGATGAGGCTTTCTACTCCCGTAAAGATTTACACCCTCGGAAATCCTGTACAGGGTCGCTATGGGTCGGAACCGACTCGACGGCATTTAACAACAACAACAGCAAAAAGAAGCCCTGGTGATCGAGTGATTAAACATTCAAGTGCTAACCTTAGGTTTGTTGTTGTTAAGGGCCGGTACTCATCTAGGGTTTCCGAGGAGTGACTGATGGGTTTGAACCACTGACCTTGCTATTGCTATAAGCTAATCAGCCCAGTGCTTTTGCGTTAGAATTCACCTGGTGCTATGTGGAAGAAAGACGTGACAATCTGCTCCAGTAAAGATTTACAGCCTTGGAAATCCTATCGGATACTATGCCCAATCCGGTTGCTATGAGTTGGAATTGACTTGACTTGACTCCAGAACATTCCAAAACCAAACAATGAGAGCAACGATAGTTCAGTGGTAAAACTCTCTCCATCTCTGTGGGAGACCCAGGTTCAGTTCCGGCCATTGCATCTCACGCACAAGCACTATTTGTCTGTGGTGACTGAACACCAGCTAACAAGGAACCAAACACCAAACAGCAATAGCAATTCATTAAAGGATTTTAACTAGAGGATACATCAAGTTTTTGGATTTACAACGATCCCTCTAGGAGCCCTGGTAGTGTAGTGGATTATAAACTAAGCAGTTAAACACAAGGTCAACAGTTCAAATCTACCAGTCACTCCTTGGGAGAAAGATGAGACTTTCAACTCCTGTAAGGACTAACAGGCCGGAAACCCTATACAGGGTCACTGTGAGTCAGAACGGACTTGACAGCATTTAGCAACAAAAAATCCAAACAGATTGGAAATAATGTTTCACTTTCCCAGGCATCCATCCTGCAGCAACCCTACAGCAAATTTTGCATGTGTGTGATTCTTGCTTTGTTTGTCCTTCCACCCTCCAGGATGCCCAAAAGGATTTTTTGGGAAGAACTGCAAGAGGAAATGTAACTGTGCCAACACTGGTCATTGCCACAGGGTTTATGGGGCCTGTATGTGTGAGCCGGGACGCTACGGGCGCTTTTGTCATCTGAGTAAGTCACGGTCACAAAATTGGCTTTCTGTGTGAGGCATGGAGGCTCAGAGAAGTAGAGACACTATATTAAATAAAGGGAGAGATTAAAACACATAAAATAGTTTTGTAATTATATCATATGATGCTTATAAACATATGATGAATACGTTCTAGTTTTTTATTTTACCTTAAATGATAGAATCTAGAATTTTGTAAGTGAAAGAATATATTTCTAAATTTTCCTTTTAAAGTAAACGTTTCCTTTAATTATTGTTGTTCTTAAATGCTGTTGAGTAGGTTCTGACCCATAGCGACCCTGTATGTTGTTGTTAAGTGCCGTCGAGTTAATTCCGACCCATAGCAACCCTGTATAGGGTTTTCAAGAAGTAGCTGGTGAGCTTGAACTGCCGACCTTACAGTTCAAATGGCTTTGCAATCTGGTGCATTAACCCACTGTGCCACACCAGGACTCCAGCGACCCTGTATAAAAGGTGTTAATAGTTCTTTGAAATGAATTTTTGACACTTTAAGGGAATTAAATATTAAGGGCATATCTCTTTTTCCTGGGGGAGGAAAATATTGAAAGTGCCATGGGCTGCCCAAAGAACAAACAGATCTGTGTTGGAAAAAGTGCAGTCCGGACATATTGTCAGGAGGAACAAGTCGCTGGAGAAGGATATCATGTTTGGTAAGGTGGAGGGTCATAGAAAAATACAAAGACCCCTAGCTAGATGGATTGGCAAAGTGGCATCATCAATGAGCTCAAGTGTGGCAACAATTGTGAGGTTAGTCCAGGATTGGGCAGTGTTTTGTTCAGTTGTGCATAAGGTCCCTATGAGTCGATACCAACCCCATGGCACTTAACAACAATACAAAACATTAGGCACTCTGGTAGCATAGTGGATTACGAACTGAGCTACTAACGGCAAGGTCAGCGGTTCAAATCTACCAGTCACTCCATGGTAGAAAGATAAGGCTTTCTGCTCCAGTAAAGATTTACAGCCTCAGAAATCCTATACAGGGTTGCTATGAGTCAGAACTGACTCCACGGCACTTAACCCCCACCACCACCATCACTAATGCAAACCAAAATTATTCCCTAAAATTTCCCAAAATTGTTCATTTTCTTACATGTTAACCATCAATTACATTTTGCAAAAGTACAAGAAAACAAGATGACCAATATATAGCTAGAGGTCTTCAAAAACTTTGTGGAAAAATTCCATTAACTTTTAATCCCATCTTCCATGAACTTCTAGAAGGCCGTTGGTACTTCAACCCATGGATAGTGTTGAGGATTTCTCCTAGGGGAATGTTCACCTTCATACCACATAACTGTGAGCCTGAATCTCTCCCCATTCTACTGCTCTACCTAGTATATGCCCCTCCACTTCTTTTTTCTGTGTTTTTCTTTTATATTATTGTGGTAAGTACATATTAGAATAAAATGTTTTCTGTTTCATTATTTTTACATGCACAGTTCAGTGACATTAATTACATTAATTATACTGTGCGACCACTAGCTATTTTCACTTTTTTCCATCACCCCACACTGAAGCTCAGAGCCTCCTAATCAATGACTCCCACAATCTCCTTCTTCCCACCCCTGGTGATCACCAATCGATTCTGGTCTCTATACATTGGCCTATGGAGTCTGGGTGGCACAGTGGTTAAGTGCTCAGCTGCTAACCAAAAGGTCTCGGTTTGAATACACCAACCGTTCTGTGGGAGAAAGATTTACAGTCTTGGAAACCCTGGGACAGTTCTATTCTGTCCTCCAGGGTCCGTATAACTGAGTCAGAATAGAAAGAACAACAGTGGATTTGGGGTATACAATTGCCTATTCTAGATATTTGATATAAGTGAGATCAATACAATATTTGGCTTTTTGTGTCTGATTTATTTCACTCAGTATCCCTCCACTTTTGCTTGGATCTTTCCTTATCTACAACTCCTTCCTGAATGTGCTTCAGTAATACATCCTTCCTGACAGAGATTGATTAGAGTCTTACTTGTATTTTTAGTTGGATGTTCATGAGTCTTATCAATTTCATAAAAGATACATTTCTTGAAAGCAGAGGCTATATTATTTACCCATTAAGAGAGACAGGGAAGGTGTCATAGAAAACTTGGTCCTGACAAAATCAACAGGAAAGGGAATGGAAAAGACATGGGTACATATGGAAAAAGGAAGTGTGGATGCCATATTCTAGAGCAACAAATATTGCCCAATAATGATCAACAAACAAAGATAGCGCCATTTCTAATATTTCTACTCTAGCGCAACAAGACAATTCCCATTTTGGGTTACAACTTTGTGTATCTTGTAAAGTAATATCAGATGTGTTGGTACAAATAAAAAAATAATTGACCTGGCCAAGCATATAAAGAACTAGCTTTCAGAGGCATAAAATTAAAGATATTAGGGTTAAAATAATAATAACAAATTTTTTATTCATCTGCATCTTGTGAGGAGTTAAAACCCAGAGAAAAATCTGACAAACAGGTTTGTTGTTATTGTGGTTGATAGTGATTCACTTTTCAGTATGACCATCCATAGGGAGAATGTGCACATTCCAGTCATCTAGGATTCCCTTATTGCTTAGACGTGTGTGTTGTTGTTGTTGTTGTTAAGTGCCGTCGAGTCGGTTCCGACCCATAGCGACCCTATACAGGGTTTCCGAGGGTGTAAATCCTTACGGGAGTAGAAAGCCTCATCTTTCTCCCGCGGAGCGGCTGGTAGTTTCGAACCGCTGACCTTAAGGTTCGCAGCCCGATTCATAACCACTGCTACTTACCTGACCCCAGAGATACTTGATTCTGTAACAATAATTAGATATTGAGCTATCAAGTCCTCCACTCTTTTTTTTCCACCAAGACTATTTCCATATTTCCATATTAAAACAGTCAACTGTTACATGTAAGTACTCCTTTGTGCCTGAGTTGTCCGCGAATCACAATATATGTTGATCCAGGAAAGGTAGGACATCTACCTGGAATGAGTAAGACAAGAACAACATCACGGCAAAAAGTAGCTCTGAGAAATCTTGGATCCTGATGAACCTAATAAAGGATTAGAAATTTGAAAGTAGAACGGAAGTGATAGAGTGTGTGAAGCACTTTTAAGTGAAAAGTGACCCTGTTAATAATTCTGTTCTGCTTTAGTGTTGATTCTGGACTGTTCCTGCCAAATGGAATGGGTCACCTTACATATTATTATTGTAGCCACCACTTTGAATGACCTCTGTTCATGTCCCTTTGCATCCCTTGGAAAGTTACCTATTTTGTTCTCTCCCAAGGGCTTCCTATGCAAAGCCAGTATGTACAAACAATTACCTTAAGCCTGGAGGACACTTGAAGAATCTTTATTTGATAAGTCCCTTGAACATCTATTAGAGAGGACAGGTAAAAATATGTAGCTATATAAAAATGTATATCCAAAGAGAATATAATTCTCTTTATATTGTAAAGAGAATTGAATCACTTTAAGTAAATGCTCAAAGATAACTCTATGGATATATTTCCCTGAATGAAAAGACAGGACTTTCTTTCAAATTAGAAATCCTTAAAGCTCAGTGCTATAGGAAACATAGTAAAGAGAAGGCAAGCATCAGTTGCCAAAGATGTGGTCAAGATAATGCTGCTGCCATGAAGAAAGCTTTGTCTTATCTCCTTGTCGTAAAGCATTTCCCATTACTGTAAAATGGAAGGGGGTGAAAACAATGGAAAGCCTTCACTTAAATGCTTGTCCATCATCTCCATGCTGCAGCAAAATGAATATGGGGCCTGGCAGGTCTTAGCAACCCTTGGAGAATATTAACTATAGGCACCAATAGAGCACAATGAGAAGCAATTTCTATTCTGGAAGCACCAAAGCCTTTTAAGTAGTTCAGGCTCACTGTTCATGTCCAGTTGCCAAAAAGCAAATGAATTGCCTGATTTGAAAGAATGTTTGTTTCCTTTTTTTTGTTGTTGTTGGCAATCAGGATGAGCACCTTGTATTCTCCACAACCAGTCACTGCAGAACTGCATGCCTGTGCACTAACAATTTAAAATAAACAAAGCATGGTTTTCAGGTGACCGGTTTGCCTCAATCTGCTTACAGACTGTCCCAGGGGGACCTACGGAGCTGGCTGCTCTTCAGAATGTCAGTGTGTGGAGGAGAACACCCTGGAATGCAATGCCAAAAATGGTATTTGCACCTGCAAATCTGGTTACCAAGGCAACAGATGCCAGGAAGGTACAATCTGATGATAGATTTTCTTTTTGTCTCTAATAACAGTGTTCAGCCTTTGTCCAGCACCATATGATCATTAATTAGTTAATCCGCCAGTGTCCTCAGGAGACAGGTGAGCTTTATTAATCCCTTATTTGCAGGTGAGGAAACTGAGACACAGGGTAATAAAGTTCTTTAACCTAGTCTTCTTGGTCTCTGCTGTTGGCTGCCCCCTTGGTAGTTTAAGCAAGGGAAGTAAGGTCACATTGCAGAAAATCTTGTACTAAGGAGATTAAAGATAGTCATTTCTTTGATCTGAACTAATCAACCAAGGGCACTTCTAGCTTTCAGAACTAAAGAATGTTGTTATTGTTAAGTACCATCAAGTTGGTTCCAACTCATAATGACCCTGCTTACAGTTTCCAAAGAGCAGTTGTTGACTTTGAACTGCCAACCTTGTGGCTAGCAGTCCAGTGCTTATCCTACAGTGTCACACTAAACTCCAGAGTTAAAGAATAGTTTTCTTTATATTTAAAGATTGATCATTCTAACAAATAGATTTCAAAGATTCCTAATCATATTAGAACATTTTAAAATTTATGTGTTCATTTGCCTTGTCCTTTCTCAAATTTCTAAGTATTATATAATTTTTAGAAATACTTACATTTAAAAGTATATGCAAAATATCAGTCCCATTGTAGGCAAGGTATATATGTAATATAATTATGTAATATATATGTATATGTTACTTAAAATGGGAATCATATTGTACAATACTTTTATATTAAATATCATATAAAAATATATATGATATATGTAAATTTGGAATCCTGGTATGGCGCTGCAGGATAATGCACTGGACTGCAAAGTCAGTGGTTCAAACCAACCAGCCACTCCTCAGAAACCCTATACAGAGTTGCTATGAGTTGGAACAGACAGAAGGCAATTAACAACAGCATATGTAAAATTGTAAAATGTGTATTATATAAAGATGTGTATTTGTATTATATATGTGTCTGTGCATAGATGCATATAAGGTTTGGAAAAGACAATTCCCAAATGTTACTAATAGCTGTCTCTAACTTGTGAAATTATAGAATACTTTTCCCCAGGTATTTATTTACATGGCTAACTCATTCCCTTTTATCAAGTAGTCCTATGCTACTTTCTCATGGAGTTTTTTTCTGTATGATCCTACTTTTAATTAATTGCCTAATCTTCCTGAAAGAAACCCTGCTGGTGCCGTGGGTTAAACATTGGACTGCTAATCAAAACATCTGAGGTTTGAACTCTCCAACCATCCAGAAGGAGAAGGATGTAGCAATCTGCCTCTGTAAAGCTTTATATCCTTGGAAACCCTTAGAGGAGTTCTAGTGTGTCATATAGGGTCACTATGAATTGGTAAAAACTCGAACAGCAGTGAATGGATAGATAGGTTGGTCTCCCTGAACCTTTTTTTCTATAGAGCTTATCATCTGCTAACGTATTGCTGTTGTTGCTTTTGTTCAGTAACCCCGAGTTTGTTACAACTCATAGTGACACTGTATAGGGCTTCTGAGGAGCAGCTGGTAGATTTGAACTGCCAGCCTTGTGGTTCACAGTCCAGTGCTGATTCTATAACACCACACCAGGAGTCTAACCAATTCTCCTACAGGAGCAAAGGAAGACTCATCTGTCTCATGAGAAGTGGATGGTGAGTTTGAATTGCCCATCTTGTAGTTAGCAATCCAGTGCTTATCCTACAGCACCACCTATATACTCTGATCATTTATTAGATTGACTATTTATTGCCTGACTCTTTTTTTTTTTGGCTAGAATCTGTAATTAAATATGCATATTCTAATCTTTCTTTTGTGTGTGTGTTTTTTAAGTTTTTATTGTGAATTATGTGATAGTTTACATGGGAGAACATTAGCTTTACATTTATCCTATTGTATTTTGTTTTCATTGCAATGATTACAATCCCATCCTTACATCATCAAACAACCAAAAGGTACACCCCGCAAGCCTGCCCCCTAGCCGCCAGCACACAGACCCTCTCCCTTCCTGAGTCCAGAGTCCCCAGTTGCTCCATCTCTCCACGCCATCATCTCTGCCTCCATCTCTGGCGTCACTGCTTCTCTGGGTAGGGTCCCACACTCCACTCCTCTCCCTTGATGGCCCCAGGGTCCTCTGCTCCTGGACTGCAAAATCAACCACTCAACTCCTCTTGTTACAAAATGTCTACCTTTACATTTCCAACCCTTCCAGTCAGTCCTGATAGCAATTATTTACTATTGTACCACAGTTGTACCACAATTGCACCACAATTATTTACTATTGTACCCATCTCCTTTCATCAGCCCCATTCAGGCAGATTGGAAACCACTCAGTGATTTATTTCTTATTGGTACATTCTTCCCTTGTTTTCATATACTTTGCATTAACTCAGAATTAAGGCCTGACAAGCTAATTCTGACAGGTTACAACCTTGAAAACCCAATGGAGCATTTGTACTCCGCACACATGGGAGTCCCTATGAGTTGGAATCAACTGGATATCAGCTAACAACAACAACAACAACTCTTATATTTAGTATTCTTCTCTTTAATTCACAGCAATAGTGAGCATATAACAAACACAAATTATCACTCATACCTCAAGTGAACATTTTGCCTTTGCAGTGACCTGAAGGGCAATCTTGTTTAAAATGAGGAGGGGATATGGGTTTGAAAGGTGGTCCACCTGCAGAGACAGGTATTGGGGTTGAAAGTTGTCTTGGATCCTCATGTATCACACCTTACTCCTTGTATTGCTACCTTCCTAGGGTCAGCAGGACTTATGTGGAGCTAAATAAAAACCTGAGTATGACTTTTCTGGGGTAGTCCTGTGGCTATGTAATTAGAATATGTGAGCAGCAATGTCCATCTGTAAAGAGAAGGACTCTTTAGCTTGTTTGTGACTTTCTAAGCTCTAAGGAAAGGACTTGGGGAACTGGAAGCCTGACATTACCTAAATATGTTTAACATGATATAAAAGTAGGTCCCACACCAGTGTCTGTCTCCTCCCACTCAACTGATTTTTTAGCCCAGAATGGTCCCCTTATTTATTCCTCTGCTGAAAAAGGCATGCCCTGTAAGGCAGTGTACGTGGAGACAATACCATATATGCACACCTGGACAAATTTAATTTATTCTGATAACATTTTCTTAAAACAGTTGCTGAATATACCATAGTGGAAAAATGCTTCTAAGATTCCCACTGTGAAGGAAAATGAATTGAAAGGATATGTAAATCAGCAAAATAAAGAGGTCACCATAATCTCTGGAAAACATATTATTTTTCAATCAGATAACTTTGTCCAATTCTGATATTTTTGTCTAGCCACAAAATGAAATTATGAATCAGACTAGAGCGGGTGAATGGGATCGCCATGATTGGCAGCTGAAATCAAGGCGAAAAGAGCTCTCCAGGAGTTGTGCGTGATGAAAATCAGTCCTGTTGTTGTTTTTATTTCTCTTTTTTAAAAAGAGTGAAGTAGCCCAAGTGCTCCTAGAGCCAGACATATCTTTAAAAATCTTAACTCCAGACCTAGATTGCAGATGAATAGGTAATTAAAGACCTCAGATTGTTTCAATGGTACTAATGAACACCACTCTCCACAATCAGCAGTCGGCCTTATTTAGTCTATCAGCAAAGACTTCTAAGAGCAAAAGATTGGTTTCTACAACTAATCTATGAAATGGTTGAAAAAAAAAAAAATGTCTTTGCTTTGTTTTGATTAGTTTGTAGCTTGGGGTATTTGGACCCCAGCTGCAAATAGACCTATGATGTGGGAGAAGCCTTTGTGGCCCAGAGAACTCCTTGAGTTCATCTGAAATGACCTATACATACGTCACCATTAAGACTGCTAGAGTTTTGTTGCAGTCATTCCAGATTTGACAAACTTCCAATGTTGAGCTCTGGTGGGTTTCTTACAGAATTGTCTTTAAGAATCCTGAGTACTTAGTATTGTAGATTAAGTTGTAGTAATGCTTGCAAGTACAAGCTTCCAAGGCCAGCAGATCTGGGTGTAAATCCTACTTAGCTACTTATTAGCTAGGTGACTCAGTTTATGTCACTTAACTTCTCTAAGCCTCTGTTTTCCAACATGGTGAGGTACGGTGGGGGGTGGGTGGATGGGATGAAGATAAAGTTGCTTATGCCACCAGGTGGTGTTTATGGCAAAATGAACTCATTTGGACAAAGCCACTGACATAAACTTAAATGATCAAATGATAACAGCCAGGTACAAGATGAAAATTCCAGAAAATAAGATAATCCTATTCAGAGTCTTCAACAAAGGCAGGAAGATACTTCACCCTTGTAGGATATAACTGCTCATTTGGTATATATTTAGAAAAATTTCTCTGTTTTCCATGTGTTAAGAGGATACTTCCCACCAACTTTCTACTTGCAGTGATTCTGATGAGAGGACATACACTGAAACATCTAACTGAATCTTCATCGGTCCCAACAGCATTGCAGGTCCTTCTCCAATTCAAAGGGCATTCCAAAAAAGCAGCATGCAACCCCTTTTCCTCACCTGGTGCATTGTACACGCTCACAAAATATACAAATTACAAACATCTGGTGTAGTAATTCTGGTTTACAGAAAAAGAAAAGGCTAGGAAAATAGAATTCAGGCCACCATTTAGGTGCAACTTCCTGAGCACCAAGCCTCCTGAGCTTCTTTTACAAATTACATCTCATTTTCAGATTTTGTTCTGTGCAACTGCCTCCTAGGATATATATCAACATTGTTTCCATTGTTACTGTCTGAAAAACCACATTTTCAGCAAAAAGCCAACCTCTGTATCTGTATTTCCAAAGTGACAAGCTATAGCATCATGTTGATTTCTTCAGGGAATATTTTTGGAAGTGTCATAAATCCTCGGAGGCTTCTACAATGTTCCTTTCTTTGCTGCTTGGTCTACACACACACACACATGCATCCAATTTTCCAACTCACTTAGGCAAAAGCTGAAATCTGAGATCACCTTGAGATTTACCAATAGTCTAAGCCCCTGTCTTTTTCTTTCTTTTTGCCTTACAAGCCTGCCCTGATGGCCTCTGGGGACCAGAGTGTCAGTTCTCCTGTGGACCCTGTGAGAATGGAGGTCAATGCAACAAACAAGATGGGAACTGTGACTGCACTCCTGGTTACACGGGAAAATCCTGTACCATACGTAAGTCATAGACCTACACAGCATAAACAACAAGTTATCAATCAAATGGTTAGCTTTGTACTTTTATTTCTTTTAAAACCTTTTAACTGTTATACAAGATATTGCTGTGTTAGGGTACATATTTCAATTACTATTTCTGTGTAGCAAACCACCCCAATGCTTAGTGACTTACAACAATGTTTTCTTATGTCTTTAGAGCAAATAATTTCTAGGCTGATGAGGTGATGCTCCTGCTGGAGTCACTAATTCAGTTGGTTGAGTGTATTCACTTGGTTGATGCGCTGGGACTAGTGCAGGGTGGACCTCTTCACAAGAGAAACTTGGCTTTTCTCTACAAAGCCTTACCACAGGTTACCTTGGGCTTCCTCATAGCATGACAGTCTAAGACACCATTCCAAGAAGGAGCCCTTTAAATGTGTAAGAAGATATATAAGATGTCAAAACTTCTAGCTCAGAAGTTCACTTCCTCCACCTTCTACTGGTTACAGCAAGTTATAAACCAACCCAGACTCAAGGGGAGGAGAAAGATTCTACCTCCTTATAAAAGGAATAGCAGAATCTTATTGCCAAAGACCTGAAAGTTGGAAGTTACGGTTGCAGTCATCTCTGGAACCAATCTGCCATAGTATACTATTTAAAGCTACATTGAAAGGCACTTTAAGAACCTGTTAGACTCGATTTATCATTTTTGTCAGAGCAGAAGCATATTATAGACTGATTTAAAAAAAAAAATGATTAGCTAAACTGAACCTGCTTCAAAGAGCCAGTGAACTGCTCATCTGCAATCTCATTTTCTGGTTGTGATTCTTACATAGCCTGTTTTCACCCTGCCTGTATTTCTGCTATGCAATGAATTGTTTAACATGACCCTTCTATCTAAATCATCTGTAACCTTCTCACCAAATGACTAGGAAGGACTATGCAAAGGTGAGGTGCTGATAACCCACTTAGGGGATTGGATAACTCGCTAATAATCTAAATAAGGGGCATGCACCTTGTGGGTGTTGGATCCTGCAAATAAGCTATATGAAATCTAAAGTGGAGATCACTACCATCAATTAAGTAGAGCCAGGAGTGGAGCATGTTCTTTGGACCCAAGATCTCTTTGATAGACTTCCTCAATCCAGGAGACAAAGAGCTGAAACACAGAAGAGCAGTGAGAAGCAGTGGCAGAGAAACAGCAGCAGCAGACGCAGCAGGACAAGGAGCACAAGACAGAGAAATTCACAAGACAGACTTCCCAGGCCACAGAGCTAGAACACTGAGTACCTTCAGGCAAGAGGCTTGCCAGTGGAGTGGGGTACCTCTGAGCACTTACTGGTAGAGCTAAAGCAGCTTTATAACACTTTTACCAGAACAGTGGGGACCAGGCCAAAGGGCTAAGAGTCAAAGAAGAGTGTGCCTACAGGCATAGCTAAGAAGAGACTCTCACAATGGAAGAACTGTGTCCTGAGCATTCCTGAACCTGAACTGTTATCTGAGTTCCTGGACCTGAATTGTAATCTGTTACTTCACTAATGATGCCCTTAACTGTGAGTTTGGTCTGTGGGTTCTGTGTGGCCATTGTAACTAATTACTGAACCCAGCAGAGAAGTAGAGAGGAATGGTCGATGTCAGAATTGGTAAAACATTTGGAGCGTGGAGGTATTTCTGACCTCCACCTCATAGGAAATCAGCCTTAGGCTGTTGATTATGATCTTTCTCCCCTGTCCCTAAATTTAGAGATCAGACACAGCCTCTAAACCACTGTTACAATTTCCTTCTCTACTCAGTTGACAAGGAAACTAAAAGTTACTTGAGAACTTGGGGACCACTATGGGCTGGGTGGCAATGATGGTATTTTTACAGTGCTATTTCAAATGTGTCTAATAAAGATGAACAAAAGTCTGCTGTTTGCAATTGTCTATCATTCTGTAAAGTGTGAACATGATTTGAATCAAATTTCAGTGCTTAGGGCTTTCTATAAACCTGCACGCAAATGCACCTAGAAATATTAGCCATAAATATAAAATCTAATGCCAAGATAGCATTTAGCACAGCTAATCAGCTAATCATTTTGGAAAATAGATTCTTGCCCCTCAGGATAACCCTCAAGCAAGAGTGATAGGACAAGATCTTTACCTGACAATCTTTCTGTTACAAGGACATAGTTCCTACTCCAGTGCTGTCCTTCTGGCACTGATGACACACATTTCAAGCAATATAAAAGTTTGCCAGAGGAGCACTTGCTTATCCTTAACCTGTTTGTTTGCTTTAAAAAACAAACAAAGAAAAAAATAACTTCAAGAATTGACATATTCAAAAGATAGTTAGTCACTTGCTATGCTATTTCCACACTGAAGTGACATTTTCTCTTGTCCAACTCAACTTAATGAAATGATTATTAATCAGGGAGTGATAAACTTTATACTGTTTCAATTGCCAGGTGATATAAATAGACTATTTTAAAACAAGGGAAGAACAAGATAAACTCTCATTCTTTTAAATATTAATTTTAGTAATTACATTGCATCTTGCTTCCTTTCTAATATTTCTAACCCTACGAGAATATTACATGATAATCCTGAGAGATTTTTTTTTGATGATGAGTGATAACATTCTAATTTTATTAGTAACATGAGATAACATTGAATTTAATAAGCAGAAATAATCTCTGAGTCCTAAACCCAGCTCAATTTCAGTGTTACATGCTATTATCTGGATTTATGCACACAGATGCAAATACAAATTAGATATCACCATAATAAGATATTTAAATAAATGAATGGAACCAAAAAGGATAGAATTCATTTAAAATGTTTCATTCATACTTCACAAAGAATGTATATGCCATTTTCAAAAGGGCTTGTGTTTGAAGAAAAGCATACAAGATTTCTCTAAATATCCTGCTATGGTGCTTTAAAACCGAGTTACTTTGCATAATGAACTGTAAAAAAATACTTATAGTCTATACAAGGTAATATATTGTGGACTCAGGAGAGACCAAAAAGCTATTTCTAAAGATATTGTCTTTTATATAAATTCGTGTTCAGAAGTTATAAATACAGTATTTGGGGAAAGCTTAAAAACAAGAAAGATTGTATCTCACTGTTAGAAAACTCTGTGTATTATGGTATCCCCATCCCACCCTACCCACTTCCTAAATAATGCTGGTGCATAGCATTGTTGGTTCAGTGATAGAATTCTTGCCTTCCATGCAGGAAAAGTGAGTTTGATTCCAGTCCAATGCACTCATGTGCAGCTATCACTTGTCTGTCAGTGGAGGACTGAAATGTTGCTGTGATGCTCGCCTTAGCCCTCTAGTGCTGCGATCATAGAAATACCACATTTAAATGGCTTTAACCAACAGAAATGGATTCTCTCACCATTTAGGAAGACAGAGGTTTGAATCCAGAGCACCAGATCTGGAGAAATGTCCTTGTTTCATTTCAGCATCTATTGGCCCAAAATGTTTGAAGATATCCATCCATGTGTCTTGGCATCGATCTTTCTCTGCTTCTAGGAGCTTTACAATGCAGGGACCTTAGATGCAAATGGTGCACTTCTCTCCTAGCTCTTTTTTTTTTTTTTTTTTTTGGTGGCAATAGGTCCCCCTGAGCTCTACTTGCTTGCTTATTCTTTTTCATACCTCAAAAAAGATTGGCTCAAAATACAACCTAATCCTGTAAATTGCAGCTAGCCTCATTAACATCATTGTTGTTGTTACATGCCATCAAGTTGGTTCTGAGACATAGTGACTCTGTATAGGGTTTCCAAAGAGCAGCTGGTAGGTTTGAACTGCCGACCTTGTGGTACCCAGTCCAATACTGATCCTACAGTACCACCCCAGGAGTACATTAACATCATAGAAATGAGAATTTACCACACATAGGATAATTCTATCACATCAGGACTGATCACATTACGGAGATGATGATATCATATTAGATATCATCATAGGCGTGATTACTGCATCTTAACTGCTAAATCACTGAGAATTCTGGCCCAACCAAGCAGACACAAAGCCTTAACTATCACAATGCTGAATTACTTAAATGGAGCTTTCCAGACTTAAGCAAACTAGGAAGAAAGACCTGCCAATCTACTTATGAAAACCAGGCAATATGAACTCTAACCACAACTGATCCTGCTCTACTTCAGTGTTATGCATAGAGGCTCCATGAGTTTAGGTCTGAGTCTCTGGTTGACTACACAGCAGCTAACACCAACCGTTAATAGTGTTGGAGAACTTGGTTTCACAGGCACACTCACATCTTCTTGATAAGAAAGTATTATCTTTATGAAAGGGAGTGCAATGACTCTGTAGAATAAGCACTGGACTATGAACCACAAGGTCAGTGGCTCGAGTCGCCCCCAGCTGCTTTGTGGGAGAAAAATAAGACTTTCTTACATCAGATGGCTGTCTTGGAAACCCTGTACAGAGCAACTCAGTACAACGACATCTTTGTGAAGGGCAATTTAGCCTTTTAAAGCAAGCAATTTCTTTGAATTTTTGCCACAGAAATGACTAGAGAAACATCCCCAGCTTTTTCTTTATCTCAACATTATTTATCATAGCAAAAGTAAAAAATAGAAGCAATCTAAATATCCATCAGGAAGTAAATGATTAAACAAATTACGTAACACATCAGGAGACGGTTGTTAGAAAATTAAGATTTATGTTTTGAAAGAATTTATAATGTCATGAGAGTCAACATTAAATGCAATATATGGAGAATGATCCAGATTTGTAGTACATGTATCCATGTATGCCTATGGAAATTTGTAGTACAAAGCACTTCTGAATGTTAGCAGCAGCCATCTCTAGGTGATGAGACTATAAGTAGTAAATATTTCTTCTTTCATTTGTTTATGTATTTTCCATATTTCCTACTTCACATATGGCCTTAATAATTCAGGAAAAGTTGACATTAAAAAAAAAGTTGACATTATAGTTAGACCAATTGTTCACTAAACAATTGGTTGTTCTTGTTTTAAAGTATTTATTACCTGATGGCCTG